TTCCACTGCCTTGGTTTACCATTGATTTTTTTTTCTTTATAACATTTAGCAAGGAAATATTCCTTTATCATCCAATTTTTTTTCTTTCTTTTTGTTCCTTTCTTCCATCACTTTTTTCCTTCCATACATCTCTTCTCTACATCTATAAACACACTCACAGTTGCCAGGGTATCTAAAATTTATACTTTCCCTTTGATCCCATAAAATTTAGCTCTATTTCACTCATTACTCAGGAAACAGCTTCAAGTTTACTGACATAAAAGTAGAGCATGCTCTTTGATATGGATTTTCCATTCACTTGATGTCCTTTCATACCATGTTATTGCTCTCACTTGTTGGGGTAGAGGGCCATAAAATTATGTGTGCTTCTCACAAAAGCCATGTTCCCTGCAGTAATCACAGGGGCCTGCTCACATCTCTTACTTCAACAAACACATGTATGAGGCACAAGAGGAGGTGCTGGTATAAAAATGTTTATACTACCTGAAAAGTAGTCAAAAGGACTTTAATTGAAGCAGAAATGCATGCTAGGTTTCAAGATTTAAACATATGACCTTACACTTTTATGAACACAGACATGGGGCAGACACTTTGCGATATACTAACAGTAAAGATATTTAGGTTTCAATTTTATTTCCTCAACCTAAAGGTTTGGAGTTCCAACATCCCATATTTCACATGTCTTTGAACTCTATGATTCAAAGAAAGAATTATCTCTCCTGTTCCCTTCCAGAACCAATTTGTTTTCCAATGATACCACTGTGTAGATAGGTATGCAAATTCAATAAATGTTTCTTTTTAACACACAATGATCAAACTCTCCCTAATCACTATCAATAGCATATTGTGAATCTGCCTACTTCTTTACTAATTACTACTCTAGTTCCAAGTTCTACCATGTGTTGAAGAACCAGGGGAAAATCCCCATAAATACCTGCTGCCTCCAGATTTACCCCTCCAATCTGTACCCCTCATTTCAATCAGGATGACCATTCTCAAGCACACACTGATGATCTCCACACTCCTCTGTCCATAGTTAACCTGAGGATGGCTACTTCTCCTATCTGGGCTCTTCTCCAACTTTCCATGTAAACATATCTGCATCCTACTTTCTAAACCTAGTGCTATAAACTTTCTTATACTAATTTCAATGTCTCAATCACTTGATCCTTCACCTCCCCACTAAATACAGTATTTTGCATTTCGTGGGTTCAGTTTGTCAACCTTGCTCATGTCCATCTTTACTGAGGAAAGATAGATCACTTTAGTATTTCTCCTACCACCTAACACACAGTAGAGTTCTCCCTTGGCAAGTGTCAGCATATACATGCTCAAGTGGTCAATTCATGCATGATTCATGCAGTTGTCAAGAACACTGGCTTTGGGAATTGAGGCAACTAATTTTAAAACCCAGGACTAAAACAAGTCATGTGATCCTACACGAAGTTCCTAATTTCTCCAAGGTTCACTTCCTTCTATGTCAGAAGATGTGATCAAATCTGAATGAGTGGTTCAGATAAGTCATGAGTCACACTGAAGCCATACAAGTGGGAAGGAGTAGGCAGAAGAGTCTGGGAGCCACACACAAGTCCCCAAAGCTTTCCTGAGTTCAGAGGAGGCTTGTTTAATTGGGCATGGATGGGCGTTCCCTGGCTATGTTCCCCCATCCCCAACACCACTTTTATCCTTGTAGGGCCTACAGAAAAATGGCTTCATGTGACTGGAGAACATCCAACCTGATATTGGATGTGGGCTGATCATGAATTTATAGCCAAAATTTTGCAGCTGAATGCTTGTACTGATAGCACCTGAGCCCTTTCTTCTGAAGGCAAGAAAACCAGTGCTGCCAGCTACAATTCCTGTGCCAGGCAGCCCGCAGCAAGCTCCATGGAGCACTCAGCAGTCAGCTCTCCTTGTCTCCTCTTACTTCTTCCTGAAATGGTGATGTCCATGCTCCAACTTCCCTGGATTGTTGGGACCAAATCAGAGTAGTCTCTGACATTAGTGACTAGTCAGTAAATGATAGCTGCATAGTACATTGTTTGATAAATAGTGTTTCCCAAGGCTGGTGCTATGGTAGGTGGAAAGTGTAGTCATTATGGTGGCATATACAAGGGACTAAATTTCATTTTTGCTCAAATACTTTCCTACAAGGTCCTTATCCCAACCCACTCTTGGATTCATTTCTGGTTATTTATGAGTATATTTTTTGAGTAAGTGCATGACCTTTTTTCCTTCAATAACTTAAAATGACACAATCATCATTTTACATTGACCCCAATTGTCATTTACATGTGATTAAGTATGAGTTTAAAATCACAATCACATTGGCCCTCAGCCCTGAACCAATGATAAAAGGATATTCGCTAAGTATGTGAGAAGTTCACTCCCTCCAAAACAGCAAAGAGATTGTTCCACAGAGTCTGAATCCAGAGAAATGAGGGGACACAGGTGTCATCCCAAGGTTGATGGCAACTGAGAATACACTGAGCCTCTCAGAGTCATCATTATATGGGGATCATGAGCAGTGTTCAGAAGACAATGTTGAATTTACAGCCAAGATTGAATGTGTATTAAGAAAATGAAGTATTTAAAATTTCCTACTACCTCTAATACTCATTTTCCTCTTGTTCAACAAGTGGTCTTAATGATTAAATTAGAAAATATCTCTAAAAACACACATGACACACAATAATGCTTAATTTATTCTATGCTAAATAAATATTTTGCAAGGTGAATGCTGATAATAACTAGAGAACTGTTATGGATTCTGTCTAGTTGTCCTCCCAAAGCAGTCATGGAGTGAGTACTTCTAGAGTTCAAGAATAACTCATGATCCACTGGGATTATGGGTTTTAGTACTACTGGCATTGTGGATGTGAGTGCTACACCCAGCCTGAGGCAGAGAGCCTGAATGTGATTTAAGGGAGACAGAGACGTTGCCATTGTCGCTGTTGCTCCTCCATTTTTCTCTCTGCTCTTTGCCACCACCATGAAAGATTTCTCTCTGCTGTGTGTCTCTCTTGTTGGACCCATCTGAGTATGGACTGAATCCTCCAGTAACTATGAGCTAAATAAATCTTTCTTTCCTTCTTTTTGGGTGTCAGGTATTTGTCCCAGCAACAAGAGAAGAGTAACTGAGTCAAGAATGTACAAGAATTATGAAACATTTTACACTTTGTTTTGCCAGATTTCATCACCTGGCATGAGCTTTGTCAGACTCTGTGTTCCAAAGACAAATAAGACTGACTAACTAAATTCGAAGCTCCAGAGTCTTAGAGTGCAATTTTTTAAGGATGTTTTTCCAAATGCGATCATGGTGAAGTGAGGAGCTAACACATAACTGGAGAACCTAAGCTACACTGCTGAAGCCAAGAAAGCCAGCCACTGAGTTGGGCAGATGGTGTGGAGTAGGCTGTCTGATGGCATCCAACAGCTCTGCGAGCCAACAGCTGGAGAGGGCAGGAGCTTGAGTCGTGGGCTTGGCCGCAAACCCAGTTCTGCCACTTCCTGGCTATGTGGCTTGAGCAAATCAGCCATTCCCAGATTAGCTATCTCACTTGCAAAATGAGGAGATGGAGTACTGGAGTCATCTAGCAACATTTATTTGGGTTCTCTTCAGCAATCATAAATTGACTAGTATAGTGTATATATATCAAGCATTCAAGAGCGTACAATAAACATTCAGCCAATATCTTCGACTTATAAAATTATGATATTATTACTATTTCTAATTCCATTCTGCTGTTGTTGTTGTTGTTGTTGTCATTATCACTCTGAAGCCTCTGGAGGGAACATAGAGTTTGACGACAGAGGTAGGCACCAGAAACATGACTAACTATCCGAGGATCTTAGCAACCTGTACAATATGGTGTCTCTGTTTAAACAACTTTGAGTGGCTTGACTTCCTTACAATGTGTTTCACTTTTATGTAAAAAAGGAAACCAGATTCTACTAGCAATTGCATCACAAAATGATAGAATATGTATGGGGAGTGGGACAATCCACTCAGCCCCCCTCCTGTCCCTCTCTTGGCCAGGAGCTTTCCTTCCCTCAATAAATACATTCTGCTCATAAGAAAAGAATACGTGTGGGGGAAAAAAGTTTTGAAATGCCTAAAAAATAAATATGTACTCGAGGAAATGAGGTGGTGACATTGAAGTCCCAAGTCCTCTGCTGGGTACTTCCATGGACTAGTTGAGAGGCACCAGAAAAAATTACTGAATCTCCCCAAACCTCAGGCTGTTCATCTGATAATTGTAGATCATATTAACTAACACATTGTTCTATAATAAAAGATCATCTAATAGGATGGTGTGGCTTGAGTGGGGCTATCAATAACTCTTGGATCCCTTCCCCACAAAAAGATATAATAAAATGCCTCATTAGAAGGACTCTAAGTGAAATCTGTGGTTTCTACCTTTTTATGTGAAAAATATTTCAGAGACATTTCATATTCTGGCAGTGGTCTTTAGTTTGTGTATTAATTTATGCTGAGGGCATAGCATCCTTAAAAATGAATTGCATGACATTTTATTTTTAGGCTAGAGAGAAAAACAGCTTTGGTTTCTTAATAGTTGATTGGTTATTCTAAATGAACTGCTATCTCTCTTGTTAAATTTAGGGTGTCCAAATGAAACATGTACAAATATCACCCCTGAGGGAAAGTTCATACATTTGAAGATTAGGTTCTAGTCAATAATATTAAATTTGAAAAAAACGCATTCTGGTAGATCTACAAATATGTAATCCCAAACATACATCTATCCCTGTATCATCCACCTATCTGTCAACAAAACACTCTCATCTCTGAATGTTAAAATGTTAAAGTTGAACAATAAAGTAAATTTGACATGGATGGGGACAAAAAACCTTCTACAAGTGTCATTCCTATCTCTATATCTCTTTATATATCTAAAAAATCAATTTCAGTTTGCATTTTGGCTTTTAAACATCCCCTCTGATATCCACTTCAGTGTGCTGGAGAAGCAAATACTTACGGTATGCACATCCAAACACTTCGATTCGCATTCCAATTCTGCCCTTAGGGCTCCATGCTAGAGGGGTGAAGCGTAGAAATCTGGCTTTGATAGAAGGCTGGAGCCGATAGTACACTACACTGTCTGCATTTGCATTCCCTGAAAAACCCTAGAAGAAAAAGGAAAGAATAAAATCAGTGTATCTGGAGACCAGCCATCTAGCTTTGTCACCTAGAACATCTCCAAGCAATATATGCTTTGCTTTTACACTACGAAAAGTGTCACCTTCTTTAACAAAACATATTAAAAGTTCTAGCAGAATGTCTCTTTATCCATAGACATTACTGTTGCCTCAACTTTCGATTGAGAGTACTTTAAATTTCACTATACCCATTAAATGGCTCTTGACTACGTATGATACCCTTGAAAACAATGCCTTCTGTCAAATGCAGATTCAACATAAAAGTGTATAAATCTGTGGCTGTTACTGTGATAGCACAAAAATGTGAGAAAATGTTGAAAAGCTATTGTACAATTCAGCCAAGAAGTCACTCACATCCTTGATGACTGAGGGAAGCTGACATGTTCCAGCTGTATCATTGGCTCAGGTATGCACAAACAGAAGCTTCCCCAACACTCAGGTGGGAACTATACTGTAATATCAGGTTACTAAGCCTCATCAGCACACTGCCCAACACAATATTCAAACTTGTTAAGGAAAACTGGGGACAATAAGAATTTGAAAAGCCCTGTAATTAAGACTTATAGAGCCTAGAATTCAAAAGCTAGAGACCTTCAGAAGGATGCTGAGCCAGCACAGGCAAATTACAGATGAGGAAATAAAAGGTCAGAAAGGCAAAGAAAACCTCTGGTGTTTGCAAAACCATTATATCGAAAGAGCAGGAGCTGGGTACCTTCCCCACCACATCAGAAGGCATTACCTGACACACAGCTCCCCTGCAAATCCTACACCTACAGCACCCAACATCTAAGCCACTTTTCTTTCCTGCTGCATGAAACACTTTAGACAGGTAGAAGTCAGCAAGAAGCAGTAGTTTTCAATCATTTATATTTCATTTTTATTTCTCCCCCTTCCCCTCCTCTATTTCTTTCTAGTCCTCTTCTTCCTCTTTTTCAAAACTGTTAAGGAAGCATATTCAGGAATAGCATGAGGAACCTTGTCCAGATGCAGGCTCATGGTAAGTTCCCCTACCATGACAGGATCATCACAAGCCTAGGCTGATGGGCATAGACAAACCCTTCAGAAGCCCTAATGCTCAGGAATTCTGTTCCTTTGTGTGCTTTTCTATTCTGCAAATATCCCATGACCAGCTACTTACCTAAAATATTTTCTAACACATTTAAAATAAAAGTTGATTGTCTCCTAATCAACTCAATTTGATTCCCCTGAATAATCAATTATTTTCACCTCCCACCCCTTACATTCTGTGCTCAGGTTTATAACTACAAGTACATTTGGGATGGCAGAGCCAAACTGTATCCTGTGTACAAGCACCTGTCTTTGTCTGAGTTACACTTTTTTTTTCAGAGCCAGGGATTGAACTCAGGCCCTTGAGCTTGCCAGTGAGTTACTTTCCTATTGTGGAGACACAAAAACTGACATCCACAAAGAAAGGATTTATTTTGGCTCACATTTGTGTAGATCTCAGTCCACAGTTGTTCCCAGGTCAACATCACACATAGCTGTAAGCTCCTTGGTAGACAAATCCAGTATCACATACCATGAGCCAGTGACACACACCCACAGTCCAGTGTCACACATCCATGGTCCAGTCCCCTACCTACCAGTCCATGAGGGTTTGAGAAGACATCTAACTATCAGCCAGAACACTCTTCACCTACGACCACCTTGTTTCACCAAGTGGTGACTCAAGAACCAGCACAATAGATTCTTCTTGATGGTTTTCTTCTGCTTCCCATCACCACCCACATCCTCCATCTCTTCACCTATGAACGGCATGAAGGCAACTTAAACTATGTTCTCCCACTTCTTGCTTCACCCCTTAAACAAAATCCAAACTCCTCCCCTAAAAAGTAACATCAACCACTGAGTTTAACTGCATTGTTCTCTCTGAACAAGCTGCATTGAGCTCCATTCAGGACTTCTACACCAGCAGTTGATTCTAGTCTTAAAAATTCGGGTCCTTACACAGTCTTCTCCTTATTTCATTTCAAATCTTTAGCTGAAATACTGCAACTCAAAAGGCCATTTCTCATTCCAATTTCTAATGCACCTGGAGCCTCCACACAGATCTTCCTATTTTATCTTCTTCATATTCTTTATTACTGTGGAAGGAGGTCTTTGTTTGCATGATTGTTACTTGCTGGTTTGTTCATAGTACCCTACCAGAAGACAGGTATCACTAAAGCAGGGAAATTTACTGCCTTCCATCCAAAATACTAAGAATACTCCTTGGACCCAGGTGGTTGATATTTGTTGGATGCTTATGCTTAGAAAAGACTGGGCTGAAAAAGCAAGCTTCAACATGTTTGTCAACCACACAGCTTCTCAGAGCACATTTTCATGTGAATGTGCACTATATCACTAAGACAAGGACAGTTGCCTAGTATGTCTCAAATTTGGTCACAAAATATCTTCTCCCCCATCTTCAAAGAGCACATTGCTAGATTAATGTTTCACAGATCATAAACAGGGAACAGTGTTTTATCCCACATGCACCTAGACGCTAATAATCAGAAATTTCTAGAAAGTTCCAGTTCATTCCACTAGTTAGTATTTTTACTAAGGGTTTACTAAGAAAGATGGTGTGTATTCTATATTGCCCTGCTTGACCCCCATTCCCATTCTATCTCTACAGCACCATGGACTCTATTTTAGTAGAAATTCAGAACATTTGCCTGAAATCAGAACACTTGCATGAAAATCTGTTGTCCATTTACTCTCACTGTTCTTGCAGAGTGGCTGGTTGATGTGGGCTGTTTCTCTATCTTAGACTGAACATTAAAATTTCCAGTGCCCAGACCATGGAAATGAGTATGCATACATGCACGTGTCTGTGTGTGTGTGTGTGTGTGTGTGTGTGTGTGTGTGTGTGTGTGTTTACAAGTTCTTCACATCAGAAAAATGTGCAGCCAGGGTTGTGAATTCAATCTACAGATACCCAATTCTAATCCATGGCAACATGCTGTCTAATCAGATCTCATACTTTTGGTTCTTTTTCCTGGGTGCCACTGGCAGACTAATACATTCCCTAATTATGATTCCTTGCCAAGTGAACAGCTGGATGATTAATTATATAACACTTCAGAAGATCTCACTTTTTTCAGAATTAATGTAAGTTCCTAGATTTAGATAGATGTCACTACAATGATTTCAGCACCTCAAGGGAATGGAGAGAAAAGATGCACTGTGGGGGTGACAGCCCGCAGTTAGATGGAACGACATCTGGCTGTGAACAGCAACCTTTTGCTTTTACCTGATTGATTTATGAGTAAATTGAATTTTGATGCCATAAAGAAGAAATATAAAATGTTTATTTTGTATAATTAATGAAAATATCTTCATCGGCACACTCAAAACTTTTAGCCATTATCGCTTCTGGAATTGTGAAGTTGTTGATCTGGGACTTTCAGCACATTACAGCTAAATCTGGATTTTTTAAATGAGCATGTAATCAACTTTATAAAATCTAATAAAAGAAAGCAAGACAAAGCTATAGTGAGCATATACAGTGATGCAGCAGACAAAAGCATTAGTTAGGACCATGCAGGCTATCTTAAACATTTAGTGTCTTTGTCATTTGGGAAAATGTACATCATTCTGATTATTTAGTAAAGTAAACTGATTTATAATATTTGGACTATATCATTCTACTTATTGAATTTTTCCATATCTAACATATCCAAGATTTTTTGAGGGGTTTCAATACTTAAGAGAAGAATATTCAGAGTGTCTGTGGATGAAGCCTGAGATCGATGCTATATTATTATATAAATGAAAAGTTCAGGGCAAGCTATCAGCTTCAGCTCTATTCCCTTTGCTATAAGACTCTCTCATTGGCTATTAAGATTTTTCATGTAGCGTAACAACTAATAAGTAAAATCATAGGCTTAAATGCTGCCTTGTCTCTAAAAACTTTATCACACGAATATTTGTCTCCCTTTAAAGATTTTGCACTGTAGCTATGTCTGAATTCATTGGGCTACTTGTTATAAACACAGATTTTGAGTTCCTGAGCTCACAGATGAAAGGGGAGGGCTGTAATCAGCATTTCAAACTCATTTTATGTGTATGGTCTCTGACTCAACACATTCTGACTTGTGACTAAATCCCAATCTTTACCCTCTATTTGTTCTCAACACTTAGAGAAGAAAGGTTTGGGAAGGAATCACTAGGGTTAACCTCCAAGGGAAGAAGTTAGCAATCATGGGGTTACTAAAAGAAAATAGCATAAGCTGAGCAGTTTCTAAAACAGGCATTTATTTCTCATAGCTCTACTTCTAGAAGCTAGAGAGACCACAATTGACAGTCTGGGCAACTCTATGAGGTTCCATCTCCCAGTTCCTAGAATAAAGCCTATTGACTATGTTCTTACATGCTAGAAAGGGAAATGCAGCTCCTCTGGGCTATAAGGATGGTGAGATCTCTCCAACCTGGAAGGTTAGGATTTCAACATGAAAGTTGGGGAGAAAGCACCACATCAAGCAAGAAGCAAATGTGTTCTACATTATCAACTTAAATGTCTTCAATGTGAAAGTTTGTGGCTCAGAGTCAGGCATAGCTGAAAGGTATAGTCAGCTTTAATATTTGCAATAACCCTGTCAAGCAGTTATTTTTGTACCCACTTTACAACTAAGGAAAATGAAAATTATAGAGGTTATGCGCCTAAAGTCACAGAGCTAGAAAGTAGCAAAGCAAGAATTTAATTCCAGGCTGTTCTGGCTCTAAAGCCCATAATTTAGCTAAGTCATCAAAAGGCCTCACTCCAACAGCACATGAAAGTAAATAACCTACCCTAGAGGAAATGTGATATGTTATCTGAAGCTTTTTTGCTTTTTCTTGTAATTTCTTTTAAAAATCATTTATGCATTTGAGAATAATGAAATTTGGATTATTCCAACTCACTTCGATAGACAAAAAGGATTATTTCATTACTTTTCAATTTCTCAATATTACTGGAGTAGAAT